AGGGAACCCGGTATGTTTTCCCTCACCTCCCGATCTACTGAGCCGACCTGTGACAGTCTCATTGTCACAGGTCGGCTTAGACGTGAGTGGAAATCACTCATGTCATAGTTCTCCTTTAAAGTCAAAAACTTTTTTTCCCCTCCCCCCAATGTTAATTAAAACACTTACCTTAAATTATGTTTCTTAATCCGATCTTCTTCTTTCCTGTCGTTTTCAGCCTTCTCTCCAGCGCTGCTGCGGGTCTCCGATCCAGCGCTGACTCCTCTGTGCTTGCTGGCACTTCCTGTCCCACGGAGTCTGCATGCAGGTGCACGCGTCCATAGACTTACCTTGTGTCTCTCCTCGTCTCCCGCCCGAGCATTTTCGGACAGGAGCGCGTGGCGAAGGCAGGGGTAAGTTTAAAACGCTTTTAAAGCGTTTAAAAAGAAATACTTTTTGCATATATCTACGGCTTGCTAGCAGTAGATATATGCAAAAAAACGGAGGGTTTAGAAACCCTTTAATGCTTTAAGTGTGAGGATATCTGGGTGGTGAAACTGTGACAATGGACTTGCTTTAATTAATTCAGTTAGATGCTTATGGCTGATTTGTACATGGTTAATGCATGCACCCCAGCTTTCTGAGATGATAAAGAGGGATACCTTCCAGTACAATGTATTCTGTCAATACACACTGCTGCCATGTCCCCAGTTACACGACCCATTAAGAATTTCTATGCTAAATATGATTGGTAAACCCCAAAATGGTAAATTGGATACATACGTGACAAGATAAAGGTTTTAATGCATAGTCATTTTGATTAGCTCGGCATGAAAAGAGCTTTCCTGGAGCATTTCAGTCCCCGGTAGTGCACCTGAATCAAAAAAATGAACTATGGGTGGCAAGGCACTGTCAAAAGATCTCCGGGATAAAGTTGCGGACAGGCACAAGTCAGGAGATGGATACAAAAAAAAACAATTCACTGTTGAGGAACATTTTTAGAATGACATCACTAATGCTCTGTGTCTTTCAGCATGAGGAATCTGTGATTTGTTATTATCCAGTTTGCCATAGACTTGAAGTCTTTTCTAAACCATCTCTTTCATTTAGCATTAAAAAGAATGGACACTTGTTGTGTCTTTTTGAAGGCAGTCTGGATTTGAATAGCCAACGTTCTTTTTTTTTTCTTCTAACATTGTCATCATTCCTGAATATATACATAGATGTGAATGACAGATAAGAGCCTTCTCGCCTCCCTGGTCTGCATATTTTCCTGACTTACTCTAATACCGTAGATCCTACTTGATCTTGGCCTTGTTTTCTTTCTGCCTCAACCTCATTGTTTGTTTCTTTGTGGATTTTCCAATACCTCTTCTAATTATTGCCTTTTTTTTCTTTTTACCCAGTACAATTTCACATTCTTCCGTTTTTCTTTACACTAATTCTGAGATTCCTTATAAAACATTGGTCATATATTAAATATTTTTTTGTTCCCAACAGCGCCTCGTAAGTTTTTTTTCTTTTTTCATTTATCAAAATATGATGGAAATTACTGACATTTTTAGTAAATGTAGCATTTTTTTTTCTGCAATCGAAAGTTGTAATTTTAAAATTGGATCCGGATCAAACAAATATACATTGCCCAGCAAAGTTTCTTTATTTTTCTCCCCAAGCACTTAGTTGTCGTTTTTCTGAACAGCTGCTTCCAGCTCTCTGTCCAGTACAAGATCACAAGGGATAGAGCTGACTCCAGCAGATGTCTATCTGCAAGCTTGGAAAAAGGAAAGAGTGGGGAGCAGGGAGGGGGGAAAATGGCTTGCCTTGCCTTGCTGTACCTGTGTGTTTGTGGAGATTAACAGCCTATTAGCATGCGCAAGGGTGGCTCCATAGGGCCCTGCAAGGGAAAGGAGACAACCTACAATAGGATATCAGGGCCAGAGGTCGGGGACTAGCTGATTCTGCAGGAAACTACAGCTTTAAACTATCAAGGAGCTGCATCCTTTGTAAGTGATATAATCAGCATTTGAAAAAGCTTAAAAACATTTTGACTGTTATATCACTTTAATTATAACACACACACACACACACTCACTAAAACTCCACCTAAAATGACCAAATGTATTTCTATGGATGCACCGATACTAGTATCGGTGCTATTACCGTGTATTTGGGCGAGTACTCGTACTCGCCCAAATGCTCCGATACCTTTCCCCATACTGGAACTTCCGGTCAGAGGGAGATTTCCTCTGCCCGTCAGTGCCGCCGGGAAGCTGGCTCGATGCTGATTGGCTGGGAAGCTGGCTTCCTAACCAATCAGCAACGAGCCGGGCAAACAAATCTGATAATATGGTGACACAACCCCCTCCCTGCAGACACATAATTCACCTCACATAGATCCTCAGCAGCATTCATTACTGTACCAGTCCCTCGGCCAGCTGGGCAGACACCACTCTCCAAGCTCTCCCGGATATGCCCACGTCTCCTGTGTGCACAGCGCCAGCACCACATTGTCAAATGAGAGTGCTGGGCAGTCTGCGCATGCGCAGTAGCAGGCTGGCGGCCGATTACGTGGGCGCTGTACATGCAGGAGACATGGGCAGATCTGGGAGAGCTCAGAGAGCGGTGTCTGCCCAGCTGGCCGAGGGACATCTGTGGTAAGGTAATGAATGCTGCTGAGGATCGATGTGAGGGGAATGAGGTGTCTGCAGGGTGGAGGTGTCACCATATTGTCCGATCTGTTTTGCGGGTCTCGATGCCAATTGGCTGGGAGCAAGGAGCCTGCCAAACAGAATGGAGCCGGCTTCCCGGGCAATCAAGAAGCCGGCCGGTGGGTAATGACATGCTGCCTGGCTCCCTGATTGCCTGGGAAGCCGGGTCTATGCTACCGGAAGTACCGGTATCAGTACTCGGTATCGGCGAGTACCTAAATATTAATATCGGTATTCGTACTAGATACCGAAAAAACAGTATTGGTGCATCCCTATTTATTTCCTTCCTACGCTGCAAGTAGTATTTATGTCCAGTGACTAGTAGTGTCTAATGTCTGCCTACTGCATTTCAATGTGTTCATTAAAGTGGACTTTATGGTAACTTTACAAGTCCGCATTTAAATTCTTGACATGTTCCAATACACAGCAACTGTATTTTGAAAAAAAAACTCCACCTTTTATCAATAATTAGTCATTCTTGAGTTCCAGCGAAATGCCTTTGCCCTTGGCAAAGATAATGGCTGAGATAATGTGAAAAGTCTCCTTTCCACCAATAATGGAACTATTGTGGAAAGTTTGTAGCCATTTGTAACTTTGTAGCCAGTCACAAGCTGAGTGGCTGCATCAGGGGCTAATTTGTGTCAGACATTTGTAAACAGAGCCAAGAACTGCACTGACACCTAAATTAACGTGGTTGTGTCGTTTCTGAGTTTGCGTCTCAGTTTTGGAATTAGATGGTGACCTTGGTAATAAAAAGCAGATGAAGCCATTATCAAGGGAGTTCTGTGATCTCTGTGAAAGGTAATAAAATACCTGCGAGTGCTACACTTACTCTTAATTGATAATGTGTGGACTTAACATATATACAATATATTTGATGATACTTCCATTTGAATGAGTTGCTGAGCACCAGTGATCTTATGTCAGATACAGACCCTTTCAGCTCCTCTTCATTCTGCTTCTTTATGCCATGGGGTGTTCATATCTGTGATCAGAGACCTGCCCTGAGTGACCGCTGGAGGCCACCATGACTACGGCTCCCCATAGAAATGAATGGAACCACACACAAGTGCACAAGAGCAGAATGAAGAGGAGACGGCCAGGTACGTGTTCATGGTAAGTTCGCTGGATCACAGCTGAATGTAAGCATAAGGGTGCCCATACACTTTGCAAATTTCAGCTGGTACTTGAGGAATTCGGCCAAAATTCTCACAGTGTGTGCCGCTGTTGGCCGGCATCCCTCGATCAGCTGATCGATGGAGCCGGCTGAAAAATCTTTGTACGGCCAGAGCCGGCAGCCAATTAGCTCATTGGCTGCGGTTTCTGATTGGATATTCTGACAGTTGCCGGCAAACAGCGGGGATTCCTCGATCGACACACTCGAAGTAATGATGGAGGGATCTGCTCTATTTATTTTTTTTGTTCAGCCCGCGGGTTGAATGAGAAAAACAGAGCAGTGTATGGCCAGCCTAAGTTCAGACTCATTGTACTCATGGAGGTGAGGGGCTTTAAAAAGAAAAGGTGAAGTTGTACTTTAAGGGTCATTGCATGTTTTCTCCTGTAATATATTTATGTATGAGTTGTAAAATAAATAAATAAATGCAATCCATAATGGGGGCAGCCACTTCATTTCCACTAAATGATTTAAAATCCATTATTTTATAGTGTAAATCTAGTAAGGTTTTGCTTTGGTCTAGATAAAGATGCTACTTGGACTCCAGGTATTTAAATTGGTGTATTTTTTTGTTTGCGGCTTCCATCAGTTGTCTACATTTACCTTCTTGTGAATAATCTAATCTACATAAACACGCTACACAGTTATTATACTGTATGCCTTGCCTTGTGATCTTTGTTCATCATTTCTCTGAAGGAAAGCTTTGCTGGGTCTGGGACCTCCAATGACTACTCTTTATCCTTGTCTCCCAATTTCTCTCCTCGGTTGTAGTCACCATTCGGAAAGGTTGTGGCAGGGTGACAAGTGCCTATGAACTATGCTCAGGCATGTTCCACTGTTGTCACCATCAAGAACCCCGTCCTGAGAAATAACCGCAGCAGTGCATGAGGACGGTGCACCGCAGAACAGTTTGCCTTGCTTGTTTATTTGGCTTAGATTATCCAGGGAAAAGATCCCATGTTTTCTATTGACACATCTGGATCTGTGCCAACACCCCCCATTTTCTTGTTAAATTACAGAAAAGTATATAGTTTGAATTTGTAATTTGATATTTTTACTATAATCTCATATCTTGTGTTATTATTTTTTTTGTTTTGCTTTGGTAAATTGCCAAATTAAGTGCCTTTCCTTTTTTGCAGTATGGATAATACATGAACAGGTGATGGTTGCTGCCTTAGACTGTGGCCGAGATGACGTAGCCCTGGTAAGTGGCACATATATATATCTATCCATACGTTAAAGAGAACCGGTCGGCAGTGGACATTTATAACAATCTGAATCCTTTCTTTATTAGTGCAGCCCTCCATCTTGGAATAGGTGTGTTTGTTCTCTACAAACCCAATTCCCAAAAAGTTGGGCCGCTGGGTAAAATCTACATAAAAACAGAATGCAATGATTTGCAAATCTCATAAACCCAGATTTTATTCACAATACAAAATAGAAAACATTGAAATATTTAAACTGAGAAAATGGACCATTTTAAGAAAAAAATAAGGTAATTCTGAAATTGATGGCAGCAACACATCTCAAAAAAGTTGGGACAGGGCCATGTTTACCGCGGCGTATCATCCCCTCTTCTTTCAACAACACTCTGTAAATGTCTGGGGGCTGAAGAGACCAGTTGCTGGACTTTTGGGAGAGGAATGTTGTCCTGTTCTTGCCTGATATAGGATTCTAACAGTCCTGGGTCTTTGTTGTAGTTTTTGTTTCTATATGCGCCAAATATTTTCAACTGGTGAAAGGTCTGGACTGCAGGCAGGCCAGTTAAGCACCCGGACTCTTCTTCTATGAAGCCATGCTGTTGTCATAGAATGTAGTATGTAGTGTAGCATTGTCCTGATGAAATATGCAAGGCCTTCCCTGAAAATTACATTGTCTGGATGGGAGCACATGTTGCTCCAAAACCTGGATATATCTTTCAGCATTGATGGTGCCTTTCCAAATGTACAAGCTGCCCATTCCATACACACTAATGCACCTCCATACCATCAGAGATGCAGGCTTTTGAAGTGAATGCTGATAACAAGCCAGAAGGTCCCTCTCTCTTAGTGCCCATGGTTTCCAAAAAATGTCAGATTTTGAACGGTTTTCCACTTTGCAACAGACCATTTTAAATGTGCTTTGGCCCAGAGAAGATGATGGTGTTAGTGGATCATGTTCAGTTATGGCTTCTTTGCATTATAGAACTTTAACTTTGATTTTTGGATGGCACAGGGAAATGTGTTCACAGACAGTGATTTTTGGAAGTATTCCTGAGCCCATGCAATGATGTCCATCACAGAATCATGCCTGTTATTAATGCAGTGCCGTCTGAGGGCCCAAAGATCACGGGCATCCAATATTGCATTTCGGCCTTGTGCCCTGCACACAGATTTCTCCAGATACTCGGAACCTTTTGATGATATTATGTACTGTACATGATGATATATTTAAAGTCTTTGCAATTTTTCATTGAGGAACATTATTCTGAAATTGTGCAACAATTTTTAGACACAGCTTTTCACTGATTGGTGAACCTCCGCCCATCTTTACTTCTGAGATACTCTGGGGGTGATCTACTAACCTAAACACTAGGTGCGTGTGATTTTTACAAAGCAAAACGTATTTATCAACCAAAAAGCCTCTAAAAGCATATTTCCACTAATGCCATATATGGAAAAATCATGCACATGATGCATATATAATGCTGCTTCACAGTTTAGACAAAAATGGTTAGCTCATGCATTTACATTCCTGCATTCATCAACGCAAGCAACACAACGTAGAGCTAATTTACACAACATCACCTTGTAATTCATGCAGGGCTTTGCACAACACACCTGCTGGGTGTGTACACACTACAAAGGTGTCTAGATTCCTCCCATAGATCATGCTGGGAGGGAACACACTACAGAGGTGTATACATGTTCGTGGTGTGTTTATAAGGTTAGTAAATCAACCGCTCTGACTCTCTAAGATGCTCTTCTTATACCAAATTTTGTTACTGATCTGCTGCCAATTAACCTTATTAGTTGCAAAATGTTCTACCAGTTCTTCCTTGTTAGTACCACTTACTTTGCCAAATTTTTGTTGCCGTCCCAACTTTTTTGAGACGTTTTGCTGCCATTAATTTCAAAATGACCTTTATTTTCTCCAAAATCGTACATTTTCTCAGTTTAAACATTTGATATGTTTTCTATTTTCTATTGTGAATAAAATATGCGTTTATGAGATGTGCAGATCAATGCATTCTGTTTTTATGTAGATTTTACACAGCGTCTCTTTTTTGGAATTGTAGCTGTATTCCCTCCTTGAGCAACAGTATCAGTTACTGAATTACCATGCCTTGTTCAGTGCTGAAATGGAGCCTTTTGGTAGAGAAGCAGGGCTCTATTACCTTGTTTCAGAGATGCCACCTTGATTTCTGGTGATCTGATGACTAATGGAGAAATACTGTAATTATGTGACAGCAGGATAGGTTCAGAAAGCACACATCCACAGAATGAATAAGCCATAAGCAGGGGGATCCTTGCACTGCAGGCCCTCAGGTACATCTTTTTCTCCAGCAAAGAGAATAGCGTGCCTTGGATCTCGTACTGCAGATACAGGGCTATTAGGCTAACGGCACAGGAACTGCACTGCTAATTTAAGTAAAAGTTCAACGCAAATAGTAGATTTCGCAGGGGACTGCTGAGGCACGATTATTGTTCGTAGAGGTTTGCTATGACATAGCATATCTTTAATTTTTTGAGTTCATGTTCACTGTGATTGATGCATGAAAGGATTTAATAGTGACAAGATGGAATAGCTCATGAGCTTTCGCTCAAACCAAAGTTATAGAAGAAATGAGACCATACCCCATATGCTTAGACCAGTTGGCAGAGGATGAGCCAGTTAGTCCTGCACCCAGATAGGGTATTTAAACTGGTTGTGATTTATTGGTTTGCTTTATAATGGCTCCTTTGACACCACAATTGTGGGGTGTTCTCTGATAGAATACAGTGCCTCCGCAGATTGTCACAGGCTGCCTGAGACCTCTGGCATAAATAATTTTGTTCCTGTATATGTTCCACGTTCTGATGATTTATTTTTCTGCAGGAAGAATGGCTCTGCATCTGATGTTGGTGCAGATCGGACTCTTTTCAAACCCTGTTTATTTTGGAAAGTGTTGCCAACCTGACCATATTCTGACACAGGAGGTCACGTTCTATATTAAACTGACACTGCAGCTGAGATATTGTGGACGTGCTTCACTTTCTCATGAAAACATTGTTCCACATGTTCTCAGCACCACTCTCCAACATCTGCACATGCTTCGCAGTATTTGTTTGAATTTGCGTGGTTATGTCGGGCATATTTATAATATTCTTTTTTCATCATCACGAACAACGTTTTTCTGTTCTGCGGCCAAGAGTGTCATAGAGCTGTTTAACTTAAAAAACGTCCAAATGTTTCAGGTCGCTGGAAACCTAAAAAGTTTTCACCAATTCCCAGCCTCTCCCGGGGATTGTCAACATTTGTAAGGAATGAGAAATGCAGAAGCCGCGTATGATTGTGACAGACGTGTAAATATGGAGTTTATATACAACCACTGTTATGTTCCATTCTCAAACCATTCAGGGAGCTGGGAAATTGCTTTGCCTATTAGCTCATTCTGAAGCTACAACTTTAACCCCCTCCCGTCTGCCGATTGTTAAAAGACGGCCAGACGGGAGTCTCCTGGATTCGGGTGGGCGTCTTTAGACGTCCTTTGCGCCCCCCTGGATTTTAAAGGCCAGCGATGGCCATTTACATACAAGCGGTCCGGCGTCTGTAAAGACGCCCGATCTCTTGTATGATTCAAGTGAGGGTGCGCCCCCTCCTTACCTCTGGTCGCTGTCCCCACCGCCGTTCCCGGGAGAACGGAGGGAGATCAATACCCGATCTCTCCTCCCGGTCTCTGAATGCAGGAAGTGATGTATATTACATCACTTCCGCATTCCTCTGTCACTCTCCGGTACAGTAACCGGAGAGAAGCTGATGAAGCAGATCTCTGCTTCATCAGCTTCTCTGGGGGTCACTAGGTGACATTAGGGGTCTTAGAGACCTCTGTCTCCATAAAGGGGACCTGTAACTGTAATTTGTTATCATATAGGGAACGCCTTAGCAACCTATGTGATAACAATAAAGTTAAGTGTAAAAAAAGTTTTTAAAAAAATTGCTCACAAAATAAATAAAATTGTACACACACAAAACAAAAAAAAAACCCACAATTTTTTTAAGTCCCCCACCCCCACATAGATGCGCAAAAATGCGTTAGTGGCGCCTACACGCAAAAAAGATGATTGCTCCAATTATGCTGCGCGTGTTACATATCGGCACGAACGTCGCAATGAGAGCAATAATTTTAGGGCCATCAATCACTGATAACACTAAACTGATGAGCGGTAAAATCTGTTAAAGCGTCGCCTATGACCAATTTTGGCTATGGTGTTTACTTTCTACTATTTACCCGATGTGACCCCGCCTTTTATATTTTACCAAAAAATTGGGTAAAAATAAATGTTTCCTAAAATAATAAAGGGAAACCCCATTTTCTTTTGAAATATTCAGTACTTTTTTTGTTATTTAGTAAAAAGTAAAAAACCCCAGTGGTGATTAAATATCACCAAAAGAAATCTCTATCTGTCCCCAAAAAATGTTATAAAATTAATTTCAGTACAGCGTTGCATGGCGGAATAAACGTCAGTCAAAGTACCGCAGCGCTGAACACTGAAAAATGGCCTGGACAGGAAGGGGGTGTAAACACCCCGGTTAGCAAGTGGTTAAAGTATAGTTTTTACTGCAGTACTAAAAATTGCCATAAGAGCCTGCGAAGAGATCTCACAACTTTTACACTGAAGCTGGCCACACACCTATAGATTATCTGCAGATTTTCTATGGTCAGATGGAAAAAGATTCCTCCATCCACACAGTGTAGCGTAGATGGAGGAATCTGTTGCACTTTTTCCATGTGACCACAGAAAATCTGCAGAAAATGTATAGGTGTATGGCCAGCTTAATTTTGGTCTGGATGGTTTGTAGAGGGTAATGGCTCTCACCTTTCTCAAACTTTAACAGAGGAACCCTTGAAAAATAATTTGGTCTCAGGGATCCCTTGCTAATTAACAAGTACTGTATCTGCAGTCCAGTGTACATTGGCATGAACAGCCCTGAAGAAGATGGAATCCTTTCTCCTGAAAAACATTGGCTGTATCTGTTGTCCCTAACAATATAAACAGAATTATTCACAAAAGAGTTTGAAGAAGTCAGGGGAAGTGAACAATCTAGGACAACATAGCTGAACTGGAAAGTAAACTGAATTGGAGAATTTTTCCAAATCAGCGATGTTGTCCTAGATTGTTCACTTCTCCTGCCTTCTCCAAACTCTTCTCCCTTTTGTGAATAACATTGAAAGATTTTAAATGAATCACAAGTGAGATAGAAGTTTATAATAGGCGCTCCTCACTACACAGAAGATCTGTTTATGGATTTACCACTACACACATCGGTCCGGTGCTATTACACACCTACTTGAGATACGAGAGGACGGCATGTCATTCACCTTGGCAGCAACCATGCTGTACTAAAATATCAGTTTTGGGTGAGGTTAGCCTTTAAGGGGAAGTCTGCTTTTGATGTTAAACATTAATGTGTGCCTATTCTCTTTGTTTGAAGTCCTGTCTGCAAGAATTACGACGGCAGTTTCCTGGCAGCCACAGAGTGAAGAAACTCACTGGCATGAGATTTGAAGCCATGGAAAGGTAAAATAATTGATACCATATATGTTCAGATGTTTTCTGCACGCATTCTGTTGTCTTCCCAGTACAATTTAATCAATGCAACAATAGAGTTCACTGACTTGGACGCTGTTGATGTCTGCGGTCTGATCATTTATACCATAAATATTTTATTAATAAAGTTACAAATATGGGTTCTAATACTAAACTCCATCTACAGTGCAGTTAAGGAATAGAAAGGAAAGAGCCGCTGCCAGTGTACCACCTTCTTTCAATATATATTTATGATTTCCAACATAAACAACAAACATACCAAAGAGAAAAGAAGAGAAGAAAAAAAATAAAATAAATGAAAAATAAAATCTATATATCATTCCATAAACAGCACTAAGGGACTTTATAGCCCCTTCCAATTCTTCAATCCCGATTATGTGATAGTTCTCTCCATAAACTTAAACTACCTTTTTATATAGTGATATCATGTATATTTACTCTGTTTAATATCCATTATCCGTTTCTCACCTCATTATTATAATAATAATCTCTTCAAAAAGGAGAGAGGCCATAACAATATTTGCCAGGCGAAATAATGTGCATATAATACTCATCAAAATATAAATCTAAAAACTTTAGACCAACTTTAGTGCTTTAAACCAAAAACATGTCTATTTATAAATAAGTGCTTATGGCCAGAACAAAATTTGATTACCATAGAAGTAAAAGTGCTTATGAAAAAGAGAAAAAAAAACTAAGTGTAACACCTTGGGTAGTGTTCTTTACTATGGGGTTGTGACAATGAATGCACAAATTTAAACTTGCAATAGCAAATGTTGCTGTGATACCAGAAATGCAAAAACACGTATTTGTGCCTTCATAGAAAAACAAAAATTATAACTGACTTTCTGCACAGCTTATGATGCTGCTTGCTAAAGAACAACAACTGGGTATGCACAAAGCTGAGAATAAACAAGCTGCATAAAATGTGATTTCAGAGCAGGTTTTGTCCATAAGCTGTATTTTTGCTGCTCCGTCCTTTTTTCTTGTTGAGGTTGTATTAGAGTGGATCATTGGTCACGTGCACAAAAAATTACCATGCTATGAAACCCACCCCCAGCATCCTGTCCGGGTCCTGTGCCTATTGCGCACCCGCACTGTAGCACCATTTATTCCTATAGATCCTTGGTTCTCAACTGGTGGGTCGCGACCCAGTGTTCAGTGGGTCGCCGCATGCCTTCCACTTTGTTAGGTGAGAGGCTCCTCTGCTTCCGCCTAGCACAGCACTGTCAGTTCTCGTGCCAAGCAGCCATTCAAAATATGCTGCCTGGTGCCGAGTGTCAGCTTGAGGTAGGATGGGATTGGGCTATGGCCGCGAGGGAGCTCCATCCATACACGCATTGCTTACAGCTCCCTCCTATGCCCTGTAGAGGGGCCTGGACCGGAGTGACATCACATCTTGGCTCCTGGCACCTCTGCAGGGCGCGCAAGGGAACTGTAAATGCAGTGCACATATGGATGGAGCTCCGTTAACAGTTCAGCAGATTGTGTCTAAAGTGTATCATAAGTCAAAACGTTTTGGTTACAGTAATAAATGTGTGTCCCCCAATACGTTCACTGTAAATGAGAAGAAATCTATCCAAAGTATCATAAATTTTAGTTGTCCCCATTGGAAGATTTTGCCTCTTCCTGTTGTGATGACAACTCAAACTTTTGCACCATATGTAGCACTTCTCTGCAATACCTGCATGTTCCCCCATTTCTGTTATTCATTTAAAAATACCTGACGTACAGAAAACTACCCGCTGATCTGCCTGACATCCAGTGAGCTCCTAACTTCCTGTAGTGAGTTAACAACACTGCTTCTGCTGCACCGAAATCCCGAACAGTGTTGTTGACCATGCCTGAGTCCTTCCCCGATGGAATACACTACACATCCCACTCTCTTTATCTCCATAACATAAAGGACAGAGGGTTGTTCTGGAGTCCAGTAGAAAAGAAATGGGCAGAGCTAACAAAACTGCATAGGATTTTAGAGCTGCAGTGGCAGCGTTGTCAGGTCAAGCAGGGAGTTAGGCGCTCACTGGATATCTGACGGGATAAACCAGGTATTTTTCTGTACTTGTGTTTTTAAAGAAACAAAACATGAGATATTGGGAAGATGTACTAAATAGGTTTTGTTATGCTGCCCTGACGAAACATTTAAGCACATATGTTCCTGTGCCCTGCATAGTCTGCATAGAACTCCAGGAATGGACAAAGTTAACCCTTGCAGTGGGACTTCCCCCGCACTGCAATGGTTAACTGCTGGTTTTGGTCTAGGTGCTGGATTAAAGAAGATATTTTCACCTGATAATCGATCCCACCTGGCTGTTAGACCGGTCCCCGCAGTAGCTAAAAAAACGACACTTGTAAGGGGATCTGTCCATCCAATACTTTATTTGTAAAAAGGCATAACGGCAACAAACGCTTACATGTTTCAGCGCCCAAACTGGGCCTTAGTCTGGTCCCCACAGCCTCTTCTTCCCCGGGCTCTGGAAGTCCAAGGACCCATGATGTCACCACGTCTAATGCAGGTCCATTAAATAACATAAGACATGAGGATGCAGAGGGGGAGAGAGGTGAGTGCTGACTGCCACAGGACTGAGGATCAGGAGAGCATATCGTCTTATTGTGGCCCCTAGACAAAAATTTGTAGTTAACCCTTGCAGTGCTGGGGTAGCTACACTGCAAGGGTTAACTTTGTTCATTCCTGGAGTCCATTCCTGGAGTTCTATGCAGGGCAAAGAAATAGATCCACTCACCCAAAGGATAAAATTCAAAATATCAACCATTTACAAAGCCATCCACAACTCCGCCCCCGGCTATATCTCAAACCTTGTCTCAAAGTATCACCCTAAACGTCCCCTCCGCTCTTCCAAAGACCTCCTGCTTTCCAGCTCCCTTCTAAACTCCTCCCACGCTCGCCTCCGGGCCTTCTCCTAGAGTCTCTTCTCTCACCCATCCGCTGGAACTCTTTACCCCAACCGGTCTGTCTATCTCCCACTGTGACTGCCTTTAGGCGATCCCTTTGGATTTATCTCTTAACGGAAGCCTAGCCCACCTCAACCTAACCACTCAACCATCACGTTATCAAACAATTCATCCCCACACAGGTGCCTCCTCATGTATCATTTCCCCCTCCCTTTTAGATTTGAAGCCCTCAGGGGCAGGGCCCTCCTTACCATCTTGTCTTGAATTGTACCTGTAATGTCTTCCTTATATTGTAAAGTGCTGTGCAGACTGTTGGCGCTATACAAATCCTGTATAATAATAATAGATGTGCTTTAATTTTTTGCCAGGGCAGCATAATTAGACCTATTTAGTTGATTCCTGGAGTTCCTAAAGAAATGCCGTGGGTCGAGTCACCTCTAAAATAAACAAACTTTTGGATAGATGTAGCATTAAATGACTTTTTTTTTTTTTTTAGTGCTGAATCGTTGGGTTTGTTTAGTTGTGTGTGCAGGTTTTCTGGAAGTAATTTTCCATAAGCGGTTTTCACTTTCCTCCTTGGAACAGGTATGATGATGCTCTCCAGATATATGACAGGATATTACAAGAAGATCCAACTAACACAGTAAGTCAAATATTGCGTCTGTAATAGGTAATTTGAGAGAAGCCGTCTGAGAGCACAACTCTTGGCTAACAAAATATTGCTTCAAATCATTCTCGCTCCCCCACAGGGAAATGTATTTCTTTTAATTATTTTCTTTATTAACTTGGACACATTGTTTTGCTTGCACTCTTAAATACCACAAAAAGGCAAAAAAAAATTTATATTGTAACAACTTTATTTCGATAACGTTTGAGTTCGGCACAGTAAGAAGATTTGCGGAGGGTGAAATTGTTATGTATCCCATGCTGTCAATGCTTCATTTTATACAGAACTTTGGATGCCGTTTTGTTTGAGTTCATGTCACTGTAACGTCTCATTTGCAAGGATTAGACTTAATTAAAATGCATTTTCATGCGATTACGTACGTGCTTTGGCTTTTCACCTTGAAGCTGTTGGGATGTTACACTTAAGTGCTTGTTTATTTCATCATTTTTTTTTTTTTTTAATACACTTTTGATGGTATAAAAAGGAAAAAATGTCCTCATGGAAACTGAAGCAGAACTCCAGAAATGGAGCTCAATACACAGTTGAAATATGTCAATAATAAATATGTAAAGTGTTTAATATGCGATCTGGCATTCCCCCTGCTTAGGCACAACAGCAGGACCGGTCTATAGGGAGGGTGATGTTGCTGATTGAAGAGCTGTAGTTGTGAATAAGCAGGATATCTGTAGACAGACCGGTACACAGAAAGCAACGCTCTTTTATCTTTAGCCTGCTTTGGGGTAATTGACTTTTGGCCTGGGGCAAGAGCGCAGTTAAAGCGGACCTTTACCCATATCTTCAAAATGACAACAAACACACCTTTTAGAAATGTTTAGTAATGACAATCTACATACAGTTACTTCTAGATAATTGCATACTTAGTGTTCTTTGCATACCTATTTCTCTTTTCTTCCCCAGTCTTCTGGCAGTGGCCATGTTTACTAAGGGCAGATTACTAGCTCAGGGGCATGGAATTCCTATCGCCTGACGCCCGGGACATGCAGTTTCGGGCACTGGGCGAGTAGTTTTTTTGTACATTTAGCCCTGCTCCAGACAAGCAAAGCTAAATGTACAGTGTGGAGCCGCGTCTCGTTTTTATACAAGTGATCTGATCAGATCACTTGTATCAATTGAGCAGCGACGATCGTGTCCGGCCCCCTCAAACCCCCCCGTGGTTTTCGGGGTCCCCTGCTCCTCTGGCGCATGAGCTCAGCATAGATGATCAGACGAGGATCAGCCCGGGAAGCCTGCTCCATGCCAATGGAAGCACGGATACTCGATATCGGCGAGTACCGAAAGCAAAATTTCAGTATTCGTACTCGATACCTAAAAACCGGTATTGGTGCATCCCTAGTTTTGATTAAAACAATTTTTTTGTATTGGGACAAGTAGATTCGCCCCCCACTTTAGCCCTTGGACAAGTAGTTTTAAAAAAAATTTCCACACCCCTTCTAGCTCTCCCTTTTACTTCCTGGAACTCTGGCACATGTGACTAGGACATGTGACCATGCACATCATCTCAGGGGAGGAAAATGTCTTTCCCTGAGATCTTATGAGATTACAAATGAGATTTCCCAGAAATGCTTTGCTGATGTAACCTTCCCAGGATGCAATACTTGGGCACAATTACATCATTTGTGCCAGAACTCGACCAGGAAGAGCTGAAATGCTGCACGGTTCACTTTGGCTGCAGCCTGGGACCCCCTGCTGTTCAGTATCAGCCTCCGTTTGCAAGTAAGGGTTGTATGTAAGTCGGATGTTTGTAACTCGGGGACTGCCTGTACCCAACATATCAAGGACAGTTCAAAGGAGCCACAGAGAAAGACCAGGAGATGACTTACAGAGCCTTGGCTCTAGCACCGCTGACTTACTGTTTCCCAACTTCATTAACATTATTCAATACAGTTATTACTGTGTACAGCCATTAGTTTGACTTTAAAGGCTTCCAGTACTAACTTGCATCCATTTTACCTTCATGCCGTAACAGGCAATAAATTACATTCTTATTTGAAATGATCCACTTACACACCCAATAATTTGTTTAGATTAGTAAGCATTAACAGCAAATGAGACCGCAAGCGTGATTTACAGAGGGAAAAAGACTAATTATTTCACTGACTCAACGCATTTCCCTCTCGTAAACGTACAGATCGACATATACCAGTTTGAATCAAAATATATGTTTTAGCTAGTTTGGGAATAAGGCAATCATTTTTGCTGTACCATGGTGTTATCCCATCATAAGTGCAAAGCATTGTATGAATATTCATCATAGTAAATATATTCTAGAGTCATTAACAATCCCATAGGGGATACTGGCATTGGCTGAACTTGTAAATATATAGCAATTATGCGCTTTGGCAGCAATTTTGCCCTTGCAAATGAGAAATCACACGACTGTCAACACTCGCTGTATTATTTCTTCATACAAACCAGTCTCACGTTTTCTTTGTGTGTGAGAATGCTGCAGAGAATTATACTGTATATTGAATAAAATGCAACTCTATACACAGAAAATCAGTCCGTTTGAAGTTAAACTACATCCAGATATAAAATATCCAGTAAAGCAGGGGTAAAAATTTCAAGTCCTGAGCTACTAGCCAGGCCTTAAGAGTTACTCGCCACCAGTTGCCCACCTAACCCCTACCCTGCTGCGGCCTTAACTCCGCCCCTAAACACGCACTCTTAAATAATCTTACCAATGACACTGTTATATGTTTTATGCAGAATAAAGTTACAAAAATAAATATTACCAACTTTAACAATATTACCATAAAGCTCCCCCCCCCCCCCACGTATAAAATAATACACTCCCCCCACACATAACATAATCCCCTCCCCTTGTTCCCTGCCCCCACAATATAAAATGAAACAATTAATCCCCCTCACCTGCTTGTCTTTCTGCAGGGAGGAGGGGAGCAGGCAGATCCCTGGTGATATAGTGTGATTAGTAAGGTCGGCAGACCTTACTAATCACTTCGTTTTTGAACCGGAGCTCAAGCTTTAACACCCCCCCCCATGCGTTCAGAATCGTTGTAAAAATGTTTACCTGGAGATCTGCCAGTAGCAGAACTTCCCGTTACAAGGTGACAATGCTAGGCTTACTGCCTCCTAATTAGCAGCAACATGTTCAGCCCGCTGTGTGTGCACCTTCAGTTGAGGATGGACTGCCTATCTGATAGACCTGATAGGCGGCCCGATGGACAACTGAAGAAGGACCACTGAAGTTCTGATAGTAGAGGCTGGAGCAAAGCGATCACAGCAGTTCGCTCATTCTGCTGATCTTCCATTCAGAAAACACCTGATATTGCTTTTAAAGGCGCCCTGTGATTTGACAAGGGAAGACTGTGATGTTTATTTGCCCCTTGTCCAATTACAGAACACCCTGTACATATAAAAAAAAGGATAGCAGACGTTTTCTGAATGGAGCATCTGCAGTGCAATTGGCCCGCTGCGATCCCGGATCAACTGTCAGGTTCACCACCGGAACTTCAGCGGTGACATCACTGGCAGAGGCTGCATAGAAGTAACATTTTTCATGAAAGAAGCAGCAGCCACCAGTGGGGCACACATCATCAGAGGCACCTTCCTGGTACCTTGTCAATGCCCCAATAAAGTGTTAGCCCACATTTCGGCTTTAAGAAAACGGCATAAGGTGAAGTGTGATGTCAGACATACAAGTTGCACACACTTTGAAAGAGGTGGTCAACTGCAGCTGGCCTCCTGTAGTTGCCCGTGTGTTGTGGTAATTCAGGCTTTAGTACATTCTAAATCACTGCCGCGGTACATGTGCAAAGTCACAGTCCTGAATACTTGTTTTGGGTCAGTCACTCTGTGTTAAAGTTGAACTCGGGGTACCAGTATTTTATTACAGTGCATGCGTGTATCAGTTTAGCTCTGTACACTTTTATTTTGTTCCTAAAACATGGAAAAATCTCCCAATCAACCCCCAGCTGACATGATGAATGCTGGGGCGCATTATATATAATATACATTTCTTGAACTTTTAAAATAACTTTTTGTAATTTGAATTCTCTGATTAAAGCAGAACCTCCTAACCAGTACAGCCAAAGAAGGTGCCATCTTAGCTTCTATTTGGATTGTAGTTGCCATGGTGCTGCACATGTGGTCAGCTATGACACCAGCCATTTGAGGGCTTGAAAGTTCGGTTGAGAGCTGAAATGAGCACACTGGCAACTTTGGCAGTAGGCATGCTTTAAAAGTAACTGCCTTGGGAGACATAAAAGAAGAACTCCAGGATTTTTAAAAATTAACCCTTGCAGTAGGGGCTACCCCTGCACTGCAAGGGTTAACTGCTCCTTTGTGTCTAGGTAAAAAAAACAAAAAACGATATACTCACCAAAAGCTCTGAGCTTGATTCTATTTAGACCAGTCCCTGGAATGTCTCTCCCCCTCCTCTGCAGTGGCCTAAGGTCCTGTAAATCATCATGTCTATACACTGTGCATAGACGTAAGGACAATGAGGAGCATTCCATTGTGTTGCAGAGGAGGGGGCAGGATTGATGGCGTGCCGTAAAAGCTGGCCGCCCGTATAAATTTGTTATTTTAGCAGCAAGACACAAACGAGTACTTAACCCTTGCATTGCGGGGGTAGCCCCATTGCATGATTTAATAAAAGTCCTGGAGTTCTTCTTCAAAGAGGAGCTGTACTCTTATCTCTAACCCTTTTTGCTGCTGAGGCCTTTTTTTTTTTGCACACATGTTATAATCGACATTTTAGGCCTGAAAATTACTTCAAACCCCCAAACGTATATTTGATAAAAGTCAAGACCCTGTAGAAAACAAATGGTGGCAGTTGCAAATGTTTAGGTTGCATGATATTAGTGCAACTCTTTATCAAACCCCAAAATTGAGTGAAAAATGCACTTAAGTTAAATTTAGTGCCCCATCACACAATATAATACCAATTTTTTTTCTACGATATAAAAGATGAGGTTACATGAGTAAATAGCTAC